TGAAATTGTTTGCTACTTCAGAACCAAAATGTTTTGTGCCGGCAATGGATGATGTTATTTTTCCTAGAAAAAAAGAGAGAAAACCAAGTGTTCCACTAACTTGACCGGATCGCTAACTTTTCTCCATCTTACCAAGGAGTGATTCAAAGGGATATGTACTGACGTGATATAATTGTGCAAAATTGGTAAGTGTTGACGACATATGAATATTGACATGGACATTCATGACGCTATGTCGTTCGCCATATAATTTGGTAAAATCTACAACAAATTTATTCATCAGCAGTTGCACAATTGGAATGTTTAATTTTAATAATATACGATCTTCAGCAAGGTGTGCGGAAATAACCAATAGTAACAGATGCTGAAAATAAATAGTGGGCAAAGTTGAATGAAAAATACTAAAGCCAAACAACAACAATATGCGTAATTCATTTGATTTATATTTCTTCCATTTATGTAGTGAACGTGGAATGCGATATGTTGTTGATGGATATTTGAATTGGCTGAATTCCTCAGCTAAATCATCGATTTCGCGGTAACAAGAATACGGCTTAGAACGATACGTCGACGAAAAGAATAACATGATCATTCGTTTCTAGAATACAAATGCAAAGTAAATAAAAATAATAGCCATATTAAGACAAAAAGCTTATGGAATCTCTTAAGATTATTAAGTTATGGTATCTCTCTCTAAGTTTCCAATGGTGAAAAAAATGATACTTACAAAAACACCACCATAGAGACTATGTAACGTATCAAATGCGAAGGATTCGCCGACATCAACATTTTCAATTGCCGTAGCTGACATGGTCCATTGTGGCCTTTTAAATCATCGTGAAATTTTTGTTTTTGTTGTCTTGTTCGCACTGTTAACAAATTGACTTCTTCTAAATATGCAATAATTGCATCGTATGTGTGATTTTTTCGCAGTTGTGGTTGTTCGTCGGCTCTAATCGATGAAGGAAATACTCGTATTCGATTGTGACCACTACCAGTTTTTACGGTAATACCTGAAATAAGTAAAAGCGGAAGAACTGATATGGATGTGAAACGCTTGAGACAGAGACAAATATGCATTTTAAAATACCTTTTATTTGACAACTATAGCAGCCATACGCTGCATTCGGTTGAGCTGTGTTTTGTAGTAACGTGATGGCTGGTTTATCAGATGAAACAGCTAACAGAAATATCTTTAAAGGAACCATTTTTTCCCGTATAGCTTTGACGACGTAGAATTTTCGTTTTTCTAGTTTTTTTAATTGTTCTACGATCAGTTTCAGAACTTCTCCCATTTATTTTTGTGACGGCTTCTTGGGTCCAGGCCATAATCCCCCAATGATAGAATTTTGAATTTGAAAACGTTGTTTTTGATGAATTTCATTAATGCAGAAAATGATTAACCACAGCGATACATCGCCACAATGTTTCATTTGTACACCATCAGCATTCAAAGATAACGTTAAAAATCGTCCTGGTTTGGCTCGAAGTAATTCTTGATATCTTTCACCATCGTAAATATCACGTTTTACATCCGCATTAGTTGTAGCCAATGTAGGAAATGTCAGATGTGTTTCACGTTCTAAAATGGATTGGATTTGGTGTTCAATGGCATATTCAATGAAATGTTGCTGTATTTTTGTTTTATACTGTTTATAATTTTCGCAATGCTCATTGGTACAATTTGTTGTATGTCTTGATATTAATTCACATTGTGGGCAAAACGTGCATTTTATAAACGGTGGAGACGTCGCTGTTGAGGTTGTTCTTAATAGTTTGACTAATGTAAGATAATCTGCTGGGACATTTGGCACTTTCAATAATTTTAAAATGTTCAGTAAAGAATTCATTCCTTTGATTGTTATTCTATATCTAAGTTTGAACATAATTAAAACGGTGGCCAAATCTAGTTTGGTGAAGTCTTCTATAGCTAATCTCGATTCAAATCTAATAAAAAAATGCTCGTACAGAAAAAATTGAACTGCGCAACGGAGACAGTATTACTGAGGATAGATATCATTATTTTCACCATCAGCATCGTCTGTTTCCATCGAATTTGATCCAGCTTCTTGTGATTGTGAATCTGGCTCGTGCTCAATTCGAAATTCTGTTTCGTTATGGACATCCATTGGATGGTAAGCTTCACCTATGGAGAAAAGTTAGCGATCCGGTCAAGTTAGTGGAACACTTGGTTTTCTCTCTTTTTTTCTAGGAAAAATAACATCATCCATTGCCGGCACAAAACATTTTGGTTCTGAAGTAGCAAACAATTTCA